CCATGCTGCTCCTGGGCTGGGACCAGTAGTAGGTCCTGCCGGCGCAGGGTAGTCGGAAGCTCTCCCACACACTCACCGGACCTGGGCTAGGACTGGGCTAAAACAAAATTTTAAATGAACAAATTGTAATAACGATTGCACAACTCAGAATATACCAAACCTCACTGAACCCACTTTCAATGTATGAATGTTATGAAAGTTGTTTTTTTAAAATGAACAGAGAATCATCAAGATTAAATCCCACACAAAACTCATTTTGAGGGGGAAAAGATCCTTGAACACACTCCAGAAAGGTGTGTTCAAAAAAACAGAACAAATCTCTTTACTCTGAGCATAGTATTTTTAAATGAGTCAGAAGGTATCTGAAAATAACAGAACATGGAGGGACCACACAAAGTAGGTTACAAAATTTAGAAATGTGGTAACAACTTTTTGAAAGGAATCATTTCAGAAAGGAAAGCTAAAGTAGAAGGACACAGGAATTACTAAACACAAAAAAACACCCTACTAAGATAAAAATACAATTTTTTTTTCTTAAAAATCTTTTATATGGTACAGGGTCTCACTGCACAGCTTAGACTTGTAGTGATCCTCCTGTCTCAGCCTTCCCAGAGCTGGGATTACAGGCATGCACCACTACATGCCTGGTTTTGGTGGCCAGCATGGCACCAGGGGTCAGAATGGCATGCGGTCCGGGGTTAGAAGCCAGGTCCTTGCGCTTGCCAGGCAGGCACTTAGACTACCAAGCTCTCTCTCCAGCCTCCAGAATGGAATATTTTTGAAAACTAAGGAAATAAGCAGGATTTAAATTGAGTGATGTACTAAACACAGCAAAGATCTGGCATATGAATAGTCAGAGTATCTGAAGAAGACAACCAAGGCAAGGAAAAAGAATAAGTGCTGAAAATCAATATTAAGGAAATGTCCTCAGAGATTTAAAAAATAGTTTTAAAAAATGGATATGAGAAAGCACACGGTATACCTGACTGTATTGACCCCAGATGACCAAAAGACACCTTCTAATAAATTTGCTAGACTTAAAAGAAAAAATACCGTGGACATCTCCCCAGATACAGCAAGTGATTTACTGATAAAGAAAAGATACTTAAATTACTTTTAAGTTTTTTGATAATTCTACTTTATGCCACAAAAATATATAATAAATACTTAAGATATCCTAAGAGTTCAAGAACAAAAAGCCTTATAGTACTGCATGTGAACTCATGAAAAATCATGCTTAAAAGTAAAAGCACATACTACCACTCTGTTCACCAAAGAAACTTAGAAACTGGGCATGGTACTGTAATCCTAGCACTTATAAGACTGAGGCAGAAGGAATACTATGAGTTTGAAGACAGCCTGAATTATAGAATGAGACTCTGTCTCAAAAAAAAGGCTTAAACTAAGGGCTAGTCCAGTAGCAATGAATATAGTCTAGATGGTGGTATGGAGATGCCATTCCGTTCTAAGACAGAATCAGGATATCTTAGATTGCTAATTCCAGGCATAGGACAGGATGTGTCT